CCCCACCGGAAAAAGTGAATTTCCGCCACTGCTCACTTTGGGCAACAGACCTCCAGCTTCCCTTTACTGTCCCATTAAAGGTTATATGTTCTTAATATTTTGCAATAAAATATTAGAGATATAATTAAATTAAATTAAAATAAACTTTAACTGAAAGGTTGCAAAAAAATGTATACTTCATTCATAAGCATATAATGTCTTATCTATCAGATAGTGACATGTGTCACATAGTTTTATACCAGGTAAGGTGACTTTCATTAATAATATTTTAATTTAAATCTCTTTTCGTCTTTGCATGAAAAATAGTGAAATAAAACATTGTGTTGCTTTTCTGGATTGTGTAAACTGTTTAATGAATGCGTAATCAGTTTCGTAATTTATGCATAATATTTACCTAACTCTGTCAGCAAAATATCTAATGTATGTAATCTTGACAGAATTTTGTGAAAGTTTTTTTGACAGACTGGCATACAGCTGAAGATAAAGTCTAAGGTTTTGGGGAGTATAATGTTGCCATATGAGCCATGTAATCATCGGCATACGGGGCTGATGCTTTCCGGGGGGCAGTTGAAAGTTTCCTCGAATTTTTATGGAGGATTTTAATGAAATATCCTGAATTTATCATATTTTCTGAAAAATATGCGCGAATTTTCTTGATTTTTCATAGCATTTGAGAAAGTTGTTTTTTTTGGGAGGGACCCCCCCTCTCATACGTCTATGAACGTAATGTAGTATAAATACAGTTATGCAGTCTTTAAATGGCCATCAATACACCCTTCCGGAAAGTACGTCACTTTGGCTATAGAGCCTCGCTTTCGTGATTGAGCTTTAACTAATCTATTTGCACGAAGACGAGGCTCCATAGCCAAAATGACGTACTTTCTCGAAGGGTGTATTGTAAAAACAAGGAATTCGAGTTTATTTATTCGAAAGCGCAGAGATTTAGCCAACATCAAAAACGAACATTATCAGCATGTACTAGGATAGTCACCGAGCAATGGTTTTTGTCATGTATAGAGATACTATCAGCTTTCCTATCTGTTACGTTGTTTTTTTTCAGCTGAGATTGATGGTTTGTATTTTGTTGCTAACAAATTTAAGTTTTCATTTTAGCAGGAGAAAATTCCGACAACAACAATGATGATAACGAAAAAGTTAAAACTGATGATAGCATTCCATGGATATTAAATTTATTTTAGATAATTGGTTTTAATTAGTTTAAGTTACTTCATATAGACAATGCCCGACGAACCTCCAATCAAAACAAGGGAGAGATGGAATAACCTGACGTCATGTACTTATGTGACGTCACTTGTATATAGCTAGCATTCCATGGATATTAAATTATTATTGTGATAACCACTCAAAGAGTGTGCTTCGTATTATCATACTATAAGAATACTACATGGTCTTTTCCTAGTTATTTATATATATTAATTTAAACAAATATATTTACTAAAACTACAGAATAATCTAATAAATGAACGAAGTTGTTTTTATAGTAGCATATCCAAACAGTTTGGAAGGAATGTCTTTCTCATGTTTATCTAAAGAGTTCCACCATTCAATCGCCCTAAATCTAAATGATCTGGGAAAAAGTGTTGATCTCGAGCTCTTAAAATTAAGTTTCTTCACCCTTTTATAGGAATTCCGAATTTTTAAAGGCTAAAAATATTGATAAATTCTAACTGGTTCACCAGAGGCAGAGTTCATTATTTCACGTGTAACAAGCAAGGTTCTAATATTATATATCATCTGCTTCAGTTACCGATAGTAATATTGAAGACGTCTCGAATGACACGGAAAAGTCCATCATGCCAACATCAGATGAAGTTAAGTGTAAGGAAAAAAAACCTGGAGGGGCAGAAAACGAACAGGACAGTTCACAAAACAATCCTACTAAAGAACGTTTCGATAATCACGGGAACGACCAAGCTACAGCTGGGGATGATATTAAACCTGCTGGTGACAATCTTCGAGACAGCCAGAACGAACAGCCAAGTATTGCACAAGGAGATGGTTCTGACAGTAATCTACAGACAGAAGATGACCCAAATAAAAGGAGTAAATCCACAACGCCAACAGCACGTGACGATGAGTGCGAGAAACAGCAGAATGAGATTATGGACGTGGACGACGGCCAATTGTCAACAAGCAGTGTTCAGAAAGAAGGTGAAGAAGACCTTTCATCAAATAACTCGGAAAAAAAAATTTAAATAGTAATAAAAAAGGTTCAAAAAAATTTTTTTCGGACTAACAATCAGTTTAGTTAAGGTTTAAAACACATTTTCCCCGGAAAAATCTTCTTAAACATGATTAAAACGCTTATTTTCCTAATTATTTGGGGGACACCCTAACATTGTACCTCTGATAGGCCCTGTCAACTTATAATTTCCCTATTGAAAAGTCTCTGCACGAATTTTTCTTCAAACATTTCTGGTGCACGAATTTTTTTTCTGTTTTCCCTGCTCGATTTTTATTTTTGCTTTTGCCCCC